ACTCTTTCCTCCCTGTTGACATTCCTGGGCTATTCTGGGAGTTGCCAGCAGGCCCAGCCAGCGGAGAACTTTGCCCCTTGCACTACGGTTGCATCATCTCCGGTGAGTGCTTTTTCCCAGACAGCCCACTCTGTTTACACGTCACCTCTGTGCTTGGCCAGAGGCAAGGGGCTCTGTGTGGTCAAGACCTTGGAGTCAGTGCTGCATGGCATGGTGGGCACAGGACATCCCTGAAGGGCTGGCTGGCCTTCAGGTTCCCACTGCACCCTCTGGGTTCCCTGCTGTGGCACCAGAACGCTGTGCCCTCCTGCTCCCCCAGCAAGGTGGCACCTCGCACCCCCTTCAGGAGGCTTCTGCAGGACCCTGCCCTGGCTCAGGCTGTGCGCACAGCATCTGGGGCTAAGAATCCAAAGAACATCTCCAGGTTTGTGTGACACTGGTTGCCACCTCATGTGCCCTCAGTACATACAAACGTCCATTTTAACTTGCGGGGAGGCGGGGGCATGCTATACACCTTTGCTCATCCTGCCCAGCTCTGTCCTGGGCTGAGGCTGGACCAGGCAGTCCAAAGGGTAGGCTCAGATCCTCAAACTCATCACACGGTAGGAATGACAAAAGCCCAGGGATGTGAACGGTCCCCAGGGAGCTGCAGGGGTCACCCTGGAAACCTCCCCTGATCCCCACTGGGTCCTCTGTCAGCAATAAATGAGACTGGCCCTGCGGGGATGACTAAGGGGGTGCTCGGGGGACAAGGGGGGGCAGGTCTGTAGGCTCCATGGGCAGGCACGTGAGGCCGGGATCCATCCGGCAGGCTGCTCCAGGATGGGTGCTCCTCCACCCGGACGGGATTTGCCCCAGCCCTCACTTCCTGCAGGTTTTGGACCAGGCAGAGGAGCTCAGCACCCTGCTGCCCCCACGGGGGTGCCTGGCCGGGTCCCTCTGCACCCCTGGGCAGATTCTAGGGGTGAGCCGCAGGCCGGCAGAGCCCACGTGCACACGCGTGTGCAAGCCCCTTGGGCACACACCTCTGCCTGCACCACTATTTGTGCACCCCCGTATGAAGCCCCCCACGCACAGCCTCCCTTGTGCGCCCCC